CCAGTCTCCCTCCTTCATATTTTCCTCTTCCCTACCTTCTCTTTCTCTCTTCCCGTTCTCTCTCTTCGCAACATTTTTGGTTTTTGAGATTAACGTTGCAGGGGTCAAACGAGGTCATGGCGGAGGAGTTCCTGTAAATCCTGAATCTCTGGCGAAAAAAATGGACAGAGAGCGTGTGTGTGGAGATAGGGAGGGAGGGGAGGCAGATAGGAGGGTTGGGAGTTAAATATCATTATATATATATATATATATATATATATATATATATATATATATATATATATATATATATATATACATATACATATACATACATATATATATATATATATATATATATATATATATATATATATATATATATATATATATATATATATATACGTGCGCGCGCGCGTATGTGTGTGTGTGTGTATGTGTGCATATAGATATACACATATAGATAGATAGATTCATATTGGTATACATACATACAAAAATATATACATATATGGTTTTAATTATGAGTGTGTGTGTATGTATATATATATATATATATATATATATATATATATATATATGTGTGTGTGTGTGTGTGTGTGTGTGTGTGTGTGTGTGTGTGTGTGTGTGTGTGTGTGTGTGTATGTATGTATGTATGTATGTATGTATATATGTATGTATGTATAATTATATATATATATATATATATATATATATATATATTATATATTTATATAAGAAAGAAAGAGGAAAAGAGATGGGGAGAATGGAGACGAATAAATGGATAAATGAACTGTTGAGAGATCTATGGAAAAGGCAGATAGAGAGCAAGAAACAAAAAGAAACCGAAACACACATAAGACCCGATAAGAGAAAGAACGTAGATGATAGAGAGAGAGAAAAAAACGAAACAAAAGAGAAAGAGCGACTGATAAAAAGAAGAAGATAGCAAAGGAAGAGAGATGAAAGATAATAAAAATAAATACAGAAAAGAAAATACCGAAGACAAGAGAGAGAAAAATAGCCCCCCTTTCCTTCTTTCCCTTCCCCTTCCCCCCCTACCCCCCCCAACAGCTCAGTCTCTCACTCGCGTCCTGTGATCTTCTTGGCCAACTCTATCGTTTATCTCGTTTATCGAATCTTTCTTTATGCTTCGCCCCGTCGGAATATACGGCGTCCGGGGGAGAGATAGTGGCCGGCGAGGTTTGAGAAAAGAGGAGAGAGGTAAAAGAAGAAGAAGAAGAAGAAGAAGAAGAAGAAGAAGAAGAAGGGAAGGGGGGAGGGGGAGGAGGATAAGGAGAATTAGGGGGAAAAAATTGCACATGTATACACATACACAAAAATACACTAATGCTTACGCATATACCTGTGAAACAAGAATACATACTTATACACATTTACATAAACATACATACATACATACATACACACATACGCACACACAATCATAGACCGATGGTGACTAATCCGTACGCATAACACATTTCCCTTTGTTTCTAAAGTAACAATTACCAAAATCCATTACCAATAGGGCTGAAATAGGATAAAGATGGGGGGGGGGGAGGCAGAGGAGGGGCGTGGGGTGTAAGGGGAGGGCAGGGGAGGGGAGGGGGGTGTTCAACCTATCACCATTACGTCGCAATGACAACGGATTACGGGCGTAGGCGTGTTGCAGGGGGGGGGGGGGGTAGTACCAGGGGGTAAAGGAGGGGAGGAGGGAGGAGGGGGAGTAGAGGTGGAGTAGGGGGCATCGGGAAAGGGGGGTAGGGGGTAGGAGCTGCAGAGTGGTTGGGGATCATGGGCGGGAGAGGTGGGGGGGGGGGGGAGCTGCTCGTGGGCGGCCACACCCACCACTCAGCTGATGACTCTCACGGCATGTGCGCCTCGCTGCCCATGTGCACATTAACGGCGATACACATGTGGATATTAGGGAGGCCAATGCGAACACGCACATATACACATAAAGAGACTAGTAAACTGATACATACGCACACGCACGTGCAGACAGGCGTATACGCATTCCGTTTTCACACACACACACACACACACACACACACACACACACACACACACACACACACACACATACACACACACATACACACACACATACACACACACATACACACCCACACACACACATACACAAAGCACGCGCATACACACACACACTCACGCGCGCGCACACACACACACACACAAAGCACGCGCAGGTGTTCTGGGTGTTATAGTGTGCGCGCAGCCGACATCAATAGCTTCGTTATCGTGTCGTTAGTGGAGTTATTAGACCACGGAATTTGAACGCCGAATCTGCGCGGCTGTGAAAAGGTGGTCTTTTTTCTTTTCATGTATTTCTCCTTTTATTTTAATATTTTTGGTTGTTTGTTGTTCTT